CTATCTCATCATCAGTTTTTCTACCTAGGGTACACAATTTTGTGCTAGACACGTGCGCGTAGCCTGTGATATTTATATACACATTATTTTATACAGCTATATATAAGTGGGTATATATATATATATATATATATATAATATATATATATATGTATACACACGTTATAGTTTCAGTAGAGAGTATGAGATACACGGAAAGAAAGTGAATGGGAGAGAAAAAAAAAGAAAACTTTACTGAACTCCCGTTTTTTTTTTCTTACACAAGATCTTTCTTTCTTTCTTTTTCTACACACTCCTCCATACAGGCAACGACTTTCTTCCTCTGTTTTGTTGATAAAAAAAAAGTCCAGTCTTTTAGGCGCCGATGGCTAGTGAAGCAAGCAATTTTTGCTACTTGCCAACTATTTAATTAATAGTCGGATAGCGTAACACTAACCTACAACCATCACCATCACAACAACAACTACTACTACTACTTCTAAAAAAGAAGTAAAAAAAGAAGAAAAAACAGTCAGTGCTTGTGGTACCTTCACATACGACAGCTACATTTCATTGCAGTAACCTTTTTGTAACGTACAGGGAGTTTATTTTGTTATTTCTTCTTCAACCCCCTTCTCAGAGAAAATTTTTTTTTTTTTCTTTTCTTTTTAGAAATTAAGTCTAAAACGAAAACAAAACAAAAAAAATAAGGAAAATATATATCAATTTTTATTTAAAACAAAAAGAAAACCCCACTTGGGAGGCAAAGGAAAAAGAAAAATGAAACCTCTATACCTGCAAATAACCCTTCCTTGTCTTTTAAGTACCAAGAAAAAGCTGTTGTTTTTTTTCTTTTCTTGGTAAAAAAAAACTTGAAGCTTTTCTTCTGGTTTTATACTTATATTCTTTTTTTAAAAATTATTTTAAGTAAAAAAAAAAAAAAAAAAAAAAAAAAATTACCATTTACGCATTTGCACACGGAATTACAGTGGAAATTTTAGGATATTTAAAAAATATAATAATAATCCAAGGAGAAAAACCAACGCATTCCTTACGGACCGTATTGGATATTATTACAGTCATCTAAGACCGTCATCACTTGTAAATGTGTGGACAAACTACCACGGACCTACATTTCAACCTGGAGAATACATAAAAAAAAAGACCAAACCTATCTGGAAATCTACCTACCTAACTAACCTGTTTCTTAGTCTTTATTTTTTAAACATCTTAATTGTTAAATTTTCACATTTTTACAAATAGGGCGTTTTTTATCTACGTTTTCCCAAGGAATACCTTGTGTGTTAAAAAAAAAAAAAGAACCCCCAAAAACAAGGTTACGTTTTTGTTTGTTTTATTAAATGCACATTTATAGTAAATTACAGTACCTAATTTATTCTCTAGATCGTGAATAAATGTTTAGTAAAGATTCTAATCAAATATAAAAGTTATTAGAAGCTAGGGTTAAGTTTCTAAAATTTACTACAATATCTGTTTGTACTTTAACTTATTATAATTTATTTATTCAGTACGTTTTTTTAAACCTTAATTCTTAGAGGTAAAATTAAAATTTTATTCTCAAATATTAGTTCTCTGTTCTAATGTGAACGAAAAGATTTGATTTATTTTAGGTTTTATTTTAAATAAGGTTTCTTTTATTATTTAAAAATAATCATAAATCCTAATTAAAGTGAAATAGCTGATCTTAGCTAATACACACCGTATTCAACCCTTGGAAATCTCAAGTTGTTTAAAAATATATGAATCTGTAGTCCTTAAGATACAAAAAGACTAGGTAAAGAGAAAAAATATATTTATTAATTAATTAACCCTAGTATTCCTTCTCCAGACCTGCACTATCTTTTTTGACCTTTGCTGCCTCGTCTGTGGTACGTGTACAACACCACCCTACAACATCTTGAGGCGACGGACCCCGTTCTGGAAGAGTCCTTGTCGCTATATTTATCGGTCTGGCTTCATCACGTATAGCAGCCATAAATTTCGACACAACCACGCCGTCTGTTGGCTTTATGTATGTAAACGATCCTGTAATCGGTCGGCCCGATGGTTCATGTTCCGTTCTATTAAACGAAACGCCCTGGTGAAGCGACTGTGGAGAAATAGGGTTTTACATAATGAAGCCACGGGTTCGGCTGAAGGCGGACCCGTACCGGTAACAACCACGACAGGAACTACGGCAGGTGCAGCCGGGGGTGCAACCGCCCTCGGCCCTTCATCTACTAACAATAACACCACTACCACTAATAACAACAACAACAATAACAATTACTACAGCTATCAAGATGAAATGGAGCTGAAATCAGTTTCTCATACAATGTTAAAAAGACTTCGCGAACGACAGCTGGACATTTTAATACAAAGTGTGGAAAGCAAAGGCGGCGAAACCACGGATTGTGTCTTGCTACCCAAGGATGAAATCCGCGTGGGTCGGCGGACCGTTTCTGCCCATGTGTTGTGCTGTCAGCTTTGGCGATGGCCAACTATTACCCCAAACACGGAGATGAAAAGGTTACCATGCTGCACAACTGCCGATGACCCGGCTTACGTCTGCTGCAACCCTTATCACTGGAGTTTATTGTTAAAAACAGGTAAGGATAATAAGCTACCACCAAAAAAAAAAAAAAAAAAAAAAAAAATTAAATAATTTTTAATTGTTTTTCCTCAAACAGTACTTTGTGGTTGTTTTTTGTTAATTTTTCATTTTTATTTATATTAGCTGCCTTAGATTTTATGTAAAAAAAAATGAATAATTATTGTGAATGTAAAAAGAGATCGAATTGCTCTCTAGGCAATTAAGCTTTATTTTGCTGAATTTTTAGCTTCATCTGTAGATTCACGAACTCCAAGATAATCGATTGATCCTAAAAATGTCAACAACGATATATATATATATATATATATATATATATATATATATATATATTGCAGAACAATTTTATTTTCTGGGTAAAAAGGGAAAACATTTGTTTTTCCTAGTTTTTTATTTTAATTACCTTGACACATTCCTTATCAGGGGACAGATAGGTTCTTACTTAAAAACAAAACAAAAACAAATACAATTCGTTTATAGAACACTTCTGTCGTTAATTGTTTAGATATCATTTCTGGAGACTGCTTGACTCTTACAACTACCCCCCCCCCCGAAATTCTACCATCAAGCAAGCACCTTACTTTATTGACTACACAAACGGGTCAATATGTGTGTGATGTAAAATATTTAAATTCAGTGCAAAGTTTACACACGTGTTTTCTTTTTATGTTTCAAAAACAGACACAAATTTGCAATGATTATTTTTTTTATTATCATATCCACAACAAAATAACTCAGCATTAGATTTAAAATTTTAAAACTGTGTTGCAAATTAGGTTTTAAATTTATTTTAAGTAGAAAGGGTCGTATTGCAAATGTCCAGTGTTTATCACTTAAAGGTATTTTCTTAATCTTCATGTTTACTAAAAAAAAAAAAAAAAATAAAGCTATTTTTGTTTACTATGAAAATCTATAATTTTAATACTTAGTAATTTGTTTAGAAATTTGATAGTTTTTATTTTATTTTATTTTATTTTTAGAGAAAAAGGTGTTTATTTAATTTTTATTTTTTTAAATATATCTTTGTTTGTCTTTTTTTGGAGTTGAAATTTAATTATTTAAAACGCTATTTGCTTAAATCTTTTTGAGTTGAGAAACGATTTTTTTTATGCAGTTTTAGTTAGGAAGGCATTTGTTGAATGGAAAGAAATTCATTCATAAAATAAAAAGTTTGTAATTTACATATGAAAACGTGTTGTCTATCCGCCCTTTGGTAGTTAGAAAAAAAAACTTGACCTTTTCATCTGTAAGAATGAAAAAAAAAACTTTTTTTATTTTACTTGTATTTTATCTCTTTTAATATTGATTTTTATCTAAGCAATAACTGCAGACCTAGAAAAAAACGTTTTTTTTACACTTTACTAGTTTTTTCTTTTTTTAAATAAGGCATTTTCAAAGACCTTTTTAATACTTTCATTTTGAAATTTTAAACTACTCCCCTTGACATTTAAGACTTTTTATCTTCTATGTAAGCATTTTATCGAGAAATGGTTTTATTTTTATTTAAACAAAAATGAAATGTCTAAATGACCCCCTTTTTAAAAAAAATCATTTATTTTTAAGTCATGTTTTCAAATATCCCAAAAATAGACCTTCATGGCAACTCTATTAACTGACCCATTGTCTTCCTAACATTTTATCTTAATAATACCCTCTTGGCTGTTAACAGCCCGGCTATCTATAGATTTGTTATTTTATTAAATACTCACCTAACCAGGGTCCACATCCTTGTCATTTATTCTTTTCTCCCTTGTGCTTTGTTTAGTGTGTGTGTAATAAAAAGCAGCCATTTTTTTCCTCGTAAATTGATGCTTCAGTCGTAGATATCTCTTTTTACGCCTATTTTTCTTCAACAAAATTTATATCTATAGAAATCTATCCCGGCTATGTCTTATTTTGTAAAATATTTACTCTCTTCTCTTTTTATTAAGCCATTATTTGTAGAATTTTTCCTGTCTTGGGCGTACCATATGAGGTTTAAATGCATCGGGGGTCCGTTTGTTTCTACTTAGAGGAGAGAAGCCATTATGGGTTGTGGGGGTAAACAAACAAACAAAAAAAACTTTAGCATAGAAAAAAATCTTTACTTCGGGGTTTTCTCTTTTTTTTCCCGATTAATAAATAATATACATCTTGTATATTCATCTATGTATCTGTATATACAATGTAGATAATACGTTGATTATCTACATACCTGTGTAGGTTTTATTATTGTTGAATGGTGTGGTTAAGAGTTTTTAATTAATTAATTAAACTGAACTGTTTGAAAATTGTTTGGGTCCAAAATGAAAAGTAAGATATAATTCTAAAAAAAAATTGTCATCAAAGTTTTTGAATAATTAAAATAGAAATATTTTCTCTTAAATTTTTTTTCAAAATACCAGACGAGCACTTGCTTGAAACAACAAAAACTGTTTAAAAACATTCAAAATATTTAAATATTTTTTTTTTTTTTTTAAGGATTTAAAAATTTTTTGCATTCCTATTAAACTAAAAATATAAATAAAAAATATTTTATATAGTCTATATTCCAATTTGCATAATGTATGAATTTTTACAGTAAACTTTTCAGTTCATCTTGTTGCTTTATTTAGCTTTACATTAAGATTTTGCTAGTAATTTTTAATTAATATTTTAAATATTCAATATTGGGCTTTTTGAATATAATTATAATAATTATTTTATATTTATTTTCTAAGTAACGTTGTTTTTTTGCTTGTTTCTGTTTTTTTTTTTATTTAAATTGTCTCCGAACTTGGCTATCTTTGACAGTCCCCTCGCAAACCATGTTATTATTCTCGACTAGTTATTAGACAGGACATTGTGATATATTCGTAAAACCATACTGTATGAATATAGCGACTGAAACTCTTTGCATACCTGCTCTTTTCAAAATAAGTGATGTTTTTATTTAATTTTATTTTTTCGACAGAACTATATATTCTAGATGTAATATAATTTTGCCATGACAATTTGATTGAATATTTATAGAAAAACAAAAGTTTAACATAAAAATGTACGTGAGAAATCATGAAAATTTGGCTACCGGGTAGTGTCCGATAGTTAGAAACTTTGTACTTCTCTGCGTATATTTTTTTTTTTTTTTTTTTTTTTCTTTAAACTTTTTACAAGAATTGATATTTCTCTCAAGTATTCATATTCTAAAAAATATGCATTTCTCTCTCACATATCCTAGAATATTCCAGGATTATAGCTTCCTGTTCTCAGTTTTATTTATTTTTTACAATACATGTTTAGTTGTAGAGACTCGTATGGTACATGGAAAACGCTTTATTTCATAGATAACGTCTATTTGGCACTTCCATCTCACTCATTCATTTTTCTTTCTTTTAGAAAAGGCATAAATCCATCTCTGCCCTTACAGATAAAGTACTGTGGTGTAGTAGGCTTTTTTTTTCTTTGCTAAGGCAGTTACAAGTAGTCTTGAAGAAAAGTTTCAAAATCGTAAAAAAAAAAAAAAAATGCAATGGGATTCCCTATCTTTCCCGGGGTGGGGTTACTAATGTAGTTTACAGATATGAAAAAGGAAAGTGTGGAGAGGCATAATTGTTTACGTCCCGAAGTTATTTTTTTCTTTTGTTTTCGGTCGGTTCAGTTAAGTTCATGAAAGGTTTTTATTTAAGAAATGAACACGTTTTTCGATGTGCGTAGAGACAGAAAAAAAAACCAGCAATAAAAAAACATTCGCAAACAAATGAAGAAAATAATATAAAAAAAAAAATAGACACATAAAGAGAAAGGTGGGAGGGTAGTGAAAAATACAAAAAGAAACAAAAAAAACACTATCAGCAGTTATGTGGGGGTCGGTCGGGGTGCGTGCGTGCGTGTATGAGTGTGTGTGTGTGTGTGTGTGTGTGTGTGGAGTGTCCCAGAGCGCCGGGGACCTGTGAGGCGTTTGGCGCCGCTCAGACATCGTGGCGACATGAAGACGCCTAACACCCCTACCTCTAGACATTTTTTTTTCCGCCCTCTCCACCCTTAACTCTCTTTCTCTCTAAGCATTTTCCCTTTCTTTCTTTCTTTCGGTTTTATCATTATTATTATTATTATTGTTCTCTCCTTGAATCTTCCATTTTGGTCTCTCCTTTTCTAAGGATACTTTTTCACTACTACTTTTTTAGTCAACATTTTTTTTCTTCTTCTCTTTCCTTCTTGGTCCATGACCCTGTTCCCTCTTTTTCACCCCCTCCTATTTGTGACCCTTCTCCGTTCCAATCCTTTCCCCCCCTTTTTTCTTTACTGTCTTTTTTCTTTTTCTATATCTCTCTCATCCCACCATGGTTTCATATTTCCCCATATTTACTTTCCATAAGTTTTTTGTAATCTCTTAAAATATATGTATATATAATATATATATATGTGTGTGTGTTTAGTATGTATATATTCACATGATGCTTTCTGCGTTTCGCGTCCTTATTGATACAATCTTAAAGTTCATATGAATTTGTATATTATAAACAGAAGGACAGGTTACCCACTAAAAAAATCAAGCCAATACTTAAAAATTTACCCCAGGTCCTAAATGGCGAATAGTTGACCATATTTTTAATTTCGTGAAATGAATTTTTTTTTTTTTTTTTTTTTTTTTTTTTCACTCTCTTGATTTGGGGCTACAGCGTGTAGTGCACCCACATACACAACAATGTACTTACCATGTTTAGAAAATAAAACATTCCTGTAACTCTAGATGCATGTATAAAATAATCCATCCTTGATAATGGCTAACCTCAGTCATACAGAACATTCGGACAATTTTTACATAATTTATATCCAGAAAAGAAAAAAAAATTATAAGAACACAAATTAAATGATAAAAAAACTTAACCGCGGTTGTTTTTACATGAAATTTGTATAAAAGAGGGACTGCTGCCCAAATAGACATATGCACTCAAATTTGCATGCTTTTTTTTATGAATATAACTTTAGGTAGACTGCTTACATTTCTCATCTACGAAATCAGTTCAAATCTCCATGGGT